CCTATTCAGAATACGACATTCTCCATAAATAACCAAAAATTATTTTTTATTGAAATCTGGTTATATCAAACGCAAGAGCTAAATCTGTCTATTGCAGGTCTTTCTTTAGGCCTGAAATGTTATCTAAATTATTAATTAGACATTAATTAACTTATCCAGACCATAATCAACTCTAGATGGCATCGCTAGCCTGCGATATTAAGTGGATTGTGAGCCGATTTACTGCATAACTTTCCTTCTCGATTAAACGATTAAATGGATAACCGAGACTATGCTGTTTATCGTACTGACTTTAGTAATGATGGCCGAGGCTAGGCAGAAATTTCATTCGCTTAGTTCTCGGTTCATAGTGGATCAATTTGAATGAAATTTTCAGCAAATTGCCTTTACGTTATCTAGTTTTTAATTATCATAGTGAGAACTGCCAACTCGTTATCGAATCTCCCATAATGTATCTTTAAAGTTAATGTAAGCTTCCAATTACCCTATTTCCTACCGGGATCTTATTTGACCCAATTCTGGTCGGTTGGTTTAAAAATGGATTAAAATCCCTGTTCTTATCACAAATGCTAAAAAAGCTCTCCTCAAGAGATTCAAGAGCGCTTTCTCAGGAGAGCGAGTTACCCTTCTTTCAATTTCAAGAGAGCTATTTTTGACTCCCCTGGAATTTATTCATGTGAAGGTCCGGGTTTCTGATAAATATTTACGACAAAATAAACATTTACCATTGATACACAAATCGTGTACTATAATCAGTGACCGCCCTAGACATTCGCCAATTCGCCAATGGCGACAATTATTTTTATTGGCGAATAAAGTGGTGATACTGGCAAAAAATTTGGCGAATGAATTTTAGAGAGTGTTATTTCGTAAATCTGCTAATATTAAACTTTAAATCGTCTCGTTCAACGCTTCTTTCGATCGACTCGATGGAGTGTCTATTGTTAGTACATTAATTACTCTAGTCTCAATCTTACAAGTCGCAAATCAGTCAATGTTACGCATTAAAAAACGACCGAAAGATCGAGTCTCGAGACTATAAAAAACCAATAAGCCCCTTTTGTGTGGCACTGCGTTGTTTACATTCGCTTTACTATAAGTTTTCTTTACTTACGCAGCAAATAAATGAAACGCACAATAATGACAACTAATACTAGTAAACCCAAAATAAGGATATATTCCTTTTTCCTTCCTACGACTACTGTTAGTCCAGAATCTACTTCCGTGAGTGAGAGTGTCATCTCGGACGCAAGTCCTTCGTTGGCTTCATCAACATGTGGACAAAAATTAGACCTTTAACCGAGACCGTCGAGCTAACCCTCAATGACCTCATGTTTATAAAAATGGATGGACCGGAAAGCATAAATTTTGAATTTGTCAGAGCATTTGATCAGTGGTGTCTTAAAAAGAATCGTCGTGTCTTTTCTGTTATGACGATGGAGTAAATTAAATCATGTGACTGTGAAGTACGTCCTATAAACATTTTTTTGTTATCTGCATTCATTCTCTCAATAATGTGAACTTTTGCATGGACAAGGAGAAAAAATAATATTCTTGTGTACATATATAAGTACATATCAAACATTTATTTTCATTTTTAATTAACAAAAATATGAATAAAAATGATATAAAATATTTGGCTAAAACTTTCTGAATTGGCTAATAAAATTTTGATTTGGCTAAAAATTTGGCTAAAGGTTTTAAGAGTCTAGGGCGGTCAGTGGTATAATGTACATGTATTTCAGATCCATTTGTTAAAAGGGACTCAAAGAACGAGGCTAGACATATTCCACAAGTCATTCATTCAACTTTCTGAATTGGCTAATAAAATTTTGATTTGGCTAAAAATTTGGCTAAAGGTTTTAAGAGTCTAGGGCGGTCAGTGGTATAATGTACATGTATTTCAGATCCATTTGTTAAAAGGGACTCAAAGAACGAGGCTAGACATATTCCACAAGTCATTCAAATGCGGAGGCCATATTCTTATATAGAGGGCATGCGCAAAAAATACTATCGGTGTAGAGAGACAGAAATGGGGTTTAACGTCCACTCGACACAAACTAGGTCATTTCGGGACTAACATATGGTTTAATTTTATTTCAATAATTCGCTTGCGCATAGGGGTCTTTAGCAGTGGGAGGTAACTGAAGGACCAGGAGAAAACCCACGAGGTTGAACAGGCGACCCTATTCCTTGTCACGTACAACCGGGGATTCGAGACCATGCCAGTCGACTCAATGACAGACTTTATGATACAGCGCGCGCACACTAACCATTCAGCCATCCAACCCCCCTATCGGTGTAGATATCACCTCGGTAGAAGCGGACGTTAAACAAAGCTATTTCACACACTGGAATAACCAGATGCTAGAGATTGCCATTCTATTGAGACTTCTGGCATACATGTATTTTGCCACATACATTTGTACATGTAACTGATTAGAAATTACAGTAAAAACAGAAATGATTGAATGTAAATTAGTTTATATAGGTTAATATTACATTATTATATGCGGTGCAACCCATTTGTGTGAATTTCTAGGTCCCAAATATTAGCAATTTAGCTCCTTTAAGCTTGGTGCAAACAGGACATTTGCTGATTTTGAAAAATTGAAATGAAAAACTACAATCTACTAATACCGGTAATTGGTTTCCAGTCATAAATACATACATCTGTACATACAACATGAGGAAACAAATTCTTTTTGAAACAATATAAAATAGTGACATGATGTAATCCTGTGAACACACAAAACTGGGAGGGAATGACACTGACTTTTGCTCTCAAGTTTTTTTTATTAGAGTATTTAGAGCCATCATGATATATTCAAGCAGAAGTACCTAAACATTGAAGCAAGTTTGGTGAGAATTTTGGTTCTATCAAACAAAAGGTGGTATGACTCCGACCACCGTTTCATATCAGAAAAGGTAGATACATGTAATTACATGTAAGTATAATGTATGTATACTATTCACATAATCAGTCATATTTAGGCTTTGCATTGCAGTAAACAAAAAGCGTCCTAAGACAAAACAAAGTTGTAAAAACATATGTTTTATATAAATGTATATACCTGTAAAATAAATAAACTATTCAAAATAAACTGTGCTTTGTGTTAAACTCTGAATTTATCGAAATCATTGCAATATATTTCAGAATTGAAATACTTTTTGTCAATTAAGACAATTATCACAGTCCTACACAAATTATAAAACATGGGCATTGTAAACCGGACCATTCTACATTGCACATGTATGTAATATTTTACAAGTTTCTTCCAATTTATTTTAATCTATAATTACTACTTCAAATTTGACATGCTAGTCTAAATTAAAGGGAAATTATGGAGGATTACATGTAGATAATGAACTGGCAGTTCTCACTGTAATAGTTAAAAACTAGACAATGTAACGGGAATATGCTGAAAATTTCAGTCAAATTGCTCCACTCTGAACTGAGATATTAGCGAATGAATTTTAGGTCTAGCCTCGATCACCATTACTAAAGTCGGTACGATACAAAAAACAGTCTTGATTATCCATTTTTGCATTTAATCATCGAAGAGCGTTGAGCAGGAGATCAGATTCAAATCCAGTGAAAACCGAACATAAGATGACATCAAGTGTTGATTAAGGTCTTTTCATGTTAATAAATCTATAATTAATAGTTTATATAGCATTTCAGAACTAAAGAAAGACCTGCAAAAGTCAGATTTAGCTCTTGCATAATATATGTTTAGCAATCAATCATCTATTCAATTTGTGTCAGTCACTAAAAAAAATCACAGCAGTTGAAGAATGGCTGCGATATTAGTATAATATAAAATATAGGCTTGATTGAATAACAGTTGATCGCATGGAGAATCAAATCAAAAATGTGTGGAGATCAGTCAGTAGTCAAGACTCAGATACCGTACTAAGAAGATACATGTACTTCTACATGTAGGTTATTACTCCGACTAGTTTGACCAGACTTGCAGGGAACGATAATGAAAGCCTGATAAGGAGCATTACTAAGAGCCTGATACATGTAAGGAGCGTGGAGGATAGAGCGCTTTTACTTGAGAGCCGTTAGGAACCTTGAGAGCCCTGTTAGGAGCGTGATCCGAGAGCCCAACAAGTGTTGGACGGAGGTGGTATACACGTACAGAATAATAAACTGCTTTTTTGGCTACTCCCACACCTCTACATACATACTAGTAGTGAACCCGCAACAGAACTATTGGATAGAGCCGGACTCACTCTACCACAGTAATCAGCTCTATCCTCATCCGAGGTGTTGTGTAAAGGTTGATAATGTGTGACGTAGATAATTAAGAATAACTATATGTTGTGGAACACCAAAACTACACCTTTTAAACATTCTTCTTCAAGCAACGCTATTTTATTCAGTTACTTAATATAAGAATGAACAAATGATGCAGCACATGCATTTGGTGTCATTTTGCTATACAAATAAAATACGACGCATAGAATCATTGACGATTGTATCATGTAAACAGCCTTCAGATATGTTGCATCCAACGGTTGTATGAAAGGCTTTAAGGCAATAATACGTGGTTGGTATTCTAACAACAGGTAGGCTACCGTACCAACCAAATGTTTGGTGCTACACATGTACAATGTAGTACATAAATTGTCTTTTATTTTAATTTACTATGTTCAGAAGAAAGTGGATGGTAAGCTAAATAGAGAGTTTGGTAATATCATCTGATCTCTAGTTTACAATTAGGCCTAGCACAGGATAAATTGTGTTTTGTAATTTTGACAATAGATTGCAGGGTATACTTACAATCACAGAAACAGTCAATCGTCTGCATCAGCTTCAATTATGTAGCCTAGTCAAGTCACTAAGACATAAACAGATTTTGACAAACGGTGGATTTTTCCTCCACATTTCAAAGTTTTGTGATCAAAGTCAACGTCTGACAATCTAAATTTTTAAAATTTTACCAATAAATGAAGCGAAACAATAATGTACTATCCCATCATATACTCACCGTGTGATTTATCCCCCACATAAACACACTGAGCAGCGGTTCATTAGCTCGGAAAAGCTTCAATTTTGGAGCCACTGCTTTGACTTTGAGCTTCTTCCTCTTTGTAGTCGACATCATTACATATATTGCACTATTCAGATATAAAAGCTATAACTCTAAGCTGAAAGGAAATGTTAGTTGTCACAAAAAACATTGAAATGTCTCATGATTTACTCCACTTGTTTTGGAAAAGCCATAAGCCCTTCCTCCAAATATGGCGTCTATAACAAATTTATCCCACAATGCAGCTCATTTTCCACCTATTACCACGGGAGACAACTCTTTTTAAAAGGCAACTTCGACGCCTTTGATGGTATATTTAGTAATTGAACATATTAACACGAGGTACAATTTTATGTATACACTGAGTTTAATACTAAGTGACGTTTCGACGAGGATACTCTGTATATATTTTCTTACTATTCACATACCTGTATCGCTTGCTTGATAAAGACGAGTGTCCTCGTCGAAACGTCGCTAATTAGTATTAAACCCAGTAATTGTGTACCGTATCCATAAAATTGTAGGCCTACCTTGTGTTAACATCGACACCCTTTAATATTCACTATGATTTATACAAAGATAAGCGTGTCTATTATTTGCTGAATTTTGATGCTATATGATTAGATTATCTGTCAAGCCCTGGATTAATCATTGATAAAAAAAAGCACGTGCTTTAAGTGTCTGAAGAAGCGCCGTCATGTGTAAGCGAGAGTCGTGGGTGGGGTGATATCTTCCACGATAAGACCTTAAACAATCAACCCTGCCATTTATAGTGTAAATGTTAGAATCAATTTATAATTTTTAGCTATCGATTTTTTCACAAAGGGAAACACAAAGCATGTTTATAAATAGGGCTTTATAGGCATAGACGTGTAAAAATCACCACTTGGATCTTCCATATTTTATTTTCAAGACATTGTAAAATTCTGATGAACAATAAAACCATTACATATTTGATTCAACTTTGACCGTAATGAAAATGCAATTGCCGCAACTCAATTTTTGGCGGCCTTTCGCCATAGACGTATATAAATAGGCGAGATATTTCTATATTTGTACGCTTTCGCCTTTAGCGGTATCTGTTGCCTATCCACCCCTATAATTTGAGACCTACTTGAAAAACACTCAAGGGGTAATCTAAATCGCTGGGCTTAACTAAGGGAGCGCTTGTTATTTCTTGATTTGGGAACATTGAGGGGTATAAACGTACAACAGACTGTGCGCCATTAAACGACGGAAAAAGAAGTTGGCAGAAGATAATCCAAGAATTTACTTAGGCTTCAATATGTAAGTAATGACAAACACATTCCGAAATTGGTCCCTCCCTCAATCAAGTTACATGACAAACATGGCTTCTAAAATAGAGTTTTTATTTCTTTGAGTATTTCCCCGCGAATACAATGTTTTGAGGGGGATTTGAATCAAATCTTTGATAGATTAGTTTGAATATGTTTTTAGAACAAATATGTCATCAAATCATGCACCCAATTTTTACGCGGAAAGGCATCTTTAAATTTAGTTAAAGATGCATAACGTAAGAGCTAAATCTGCCCAATGTTGGCCGTTATTTTGGCTTCAAATATTATATAAACTATTATTTAGAAATTTATTAACATGACAAGCCCATAGTCAACTCTAAAGACCATCAGATTGTAGATATTTCAATGAATTAGATAAATTGGATAATCGAGACATTCTCTTTTGTACTGTACCGTGGCTACGATAATAAACAATCTATGCTTCATCTCTTAACATTTATAACTTCGCTCTAAATAAAGTAATTCGAATGAAATTTTCAATATTCATTTTACATTATCTATTTTTGAACTATTACAACAAGAACGACCACCTCTTTATCGAAATCTTCCATAATGCACTTAAAGGCTCAATACCATTCTTGTTGTAACTGAATAATATGTCCCAATTTTTATTCTGGTCAACAAATTGTACTATTTTAGAATATTTCATTTAATTCATGATACAAATTTCATCTTAACACACCTTATTTAACAATTTTGAAAAATTCAACATAATGGTTTGAAACGTCTAACGTAAACCTTTTCAAATGAAACTTCGATTTAAAAATATTTTCGAACCCTCTGGACAAGTAAAATAGGATGTAATGGATAATTTACACAACAGGTAGGACACTTAAGCATCTAGTACTTAGATAGAGATATTATTTATTTTCTGGAGCTTTCAAGCCAGCAAGAGTGTTATTGTCCCTTTAATGTTCCACCATTAACACAATGCATCTATGCAGTATTACTTGATATTTTTGTCTTTCTTGCTCGCTTTTTGTCTATTTTTCTTCAAAATGGTTCGGAGCAGTAGTAATCAAATCCTTTGTTTGAACTTTCCACACTTGCTTGACAATCTGTGGATTCGCGTGTAGCCCAAAGCGTATCTGTTACAGAAATGGAATGAAATTGGATGGGACTCTATCTGCACCAATCGGGATAAACAAGCCATGTGCCGGTCATGTAGTATGCTGTTGGGAAAATTGTTCTGACAGCATCGTTTCGACCTATTCTTTTTTGATTTTCATCTCTTAAGGGCTCTTATACGTGTACACCAACATGTGCAAGGGATCTCGAATTTTGGTCCTATCCGAACGACTAGACGCTGGTCATGAGAACTTTTTCACAGAACAAAACTGGTGAATTTTGTATGGAAATCTCTTAAACATACTTTCTTTTCCCAAGCAAAGAAATACAAGAGTTATTACTCTTATACGTGTACACCAACAAGAAATACAAGAGTTATTACTAGCCTTGACAATGAAACCTGTCTGCAATTCATGGAAACGCCAAATAGGACGGCGTTTCAAAGGAGCCCATTTTGAGTGCACCCTAGTGATGTAAATCTAATGGCACCAATGGGGCTAGTCTTCGTCGAATTCCAACTGTACACGGAACCTTGGTTGTTCGTACCATACGAAGGATTGGAAGCTGTACCTTGCCAGGCCCCCCGCCCTTCACTACTGATGAGGAAATCCCAGACCAAAACGGAGACAACTTACAAGTGAGCGAGTTTCTTTAATTCACTGTGTTACATGGCTCACCGTTGTGATGGCTTTATTCGTACATATTTATAGAAATATATATACAAGGACCTAATCAGATAGGGGTGGCAACCACGACAACCCAGGCCGCTGTCATTACTGACTTTCAAATTTGACAAAAATACTTATTAAACAGGAATAAAAACAACTCATTTTTGACAACAGCTTCACAGTGTATGCTGATGGAGTGTTTTAAGTTTTTTAAATGGAGTTATTTCCCTTCCCACACAGGCAAATACTTATAACTTCGTATACAGGTAGTAGCATATTGCCCCCACTCACGAATTTTGAGGCGATTGATAGATTTGATGCCAGTTATGGGTTCTTTACAAAAGAATCCCAAAAGTGGAAATGTTGGTAGTTTTTGTTTTCAAGATTATTTAAAAGCTGAAATTGAAACTGGCACACGTAATGGTCGAAGAACTGAACTACACAACACGTAAATTGTCTAAATTATAAGGGGCGGATACAAGATTAGTAAAATTTACACGACAGGGTTTTCAAAATTTGTGTCAATTAGGAGACCTTTCACCAGGACACGTGGAATTTATATAGAGGACGGGGAGAGGGACCAAGGGCGGGTGGGGTTGGTGTGCTGCGCAATAGACGGCCACATTTCAATCGGGGCGTGTAAAATAAATAAACTAACAGGTTTCCAGACTGGTCAAATACGATGGTCCCTATCTTCATGCGGATGCGAATGAAAGAACTAAGGTAAACAACCGGAATCGGTGACCTAGATAAATGAGTCACGTAGGAGATTGGCTGAGCTGCTTCCAACCATAGAAACAAGCAGCGAGTACCCGAGTATACATGTCAACGTTCTGTACTATTGCAATAATAAAATAAAACCAAGTACGAACAATCCAAACCATAAGACAGAATTTTAAGTCCTAAAAAACGTTATAGGCAAAATAGTGTATTCAAGCAAAATAGTGTAATCAGCAAATGGACTGCTCCTCGTGTACAAAATTCACGACAAACAGTGGTAACAGGTGTCCGGAAGAGAAAGATATGTTAGCCATCATCACATTCCACAAGGCAATGCCAGGGTTACCCAAACTCACAGGGATAATTACATAAAACAGGACTTGCTTTTCGTTCAACAAAATCTTTTTATTTTAGCACGTTCAACAAAATCTTTTTATTTTAGCACGTTCAACAAAATCTTTTTATTTTAGCCAGTATCACATGTAATGATGTATTAAAATATTGCACCCTGAGATTTCTAGTATTCTTCACCTTCCTCCTCGTCTTCAGCATCTGCAGAATCAATACCAACCTCTTCGTAATCTTTCTCCAGAGCAGCCAAATCTTCCCTAGCCTCAGAGAATTCACCCTCTTCCATACCTTCACCAACATACCAGTGAACGAAAGCTCTCTTGGCGTACATCAGATCAAATTTATGATCCAGACGAGCCCAGGCCTCGGCAATAGCGGTGGTGTTACTCAACATACAAACAGCTCTCTGTACCTTAGCTAAATCACCTCCTGGTACAACAGTTGGTGGTTGGTAGTTGATACCGACTTTGAAACCAGTTGGACACCAATCAACAAATTGGATGCTTCTCTTGGTCTTGATGGTCGCAATGGCAGCATTGACATCCTTTGGAACAACATCTCCTCGGTACAACATACAACAGGCCATGTACTTTCCGTGACGAGGATCACATTTGACCATCTGGTTGGCTGGTTCAAAACAGGCATTGGTGATTTCAGCTACTGAGAGTTGTTCATGGTAGGCTTTCTCAGCTGAGATGACTGGAGCATAGGTAGCAAGAGGGAAATGGATACGTGGGTAGGGTACCAAGTTAGTCTGGAACTCAGTCAAGTCGACGTTTAGGGCACCATCGAATCGAAGAGAGGCAGTGATAGAGCTGACAATCTGCCCAATAAGTCGGTTCAGGTTTGTATAACTTGGCCTATCAATATCTAAGTTACGACGACAGATATCATAGATAGCCTCATTATCAACCATAAAAGCGCAATCGGAATGTTCCAGGGTGGTGTGGGTGGTGAGGATAGAGTTGTAGGGTTCAACCACGGCAGTGGAAATTTGAGGAGCTGGATAAACAGCAAATTCTAATTTGGATTTTTTGCCATAATCAACGCTTAATCGTTCCATAAGGAGAGATGAGAATCCGGAACCG